TCCTAATGAGAAATTTTGATAATTAATCTCATGACTTGATTATTATATTATTTTAAAGAAAAAATTTTTGTGTAATTTTTTTGTCTTATTTTTTTATACAATTTAATAAATTATTAAAATTATTATATTTTTAATTTATATCAAATATATAATATTAAATACATTTACTTATTTAATAATATATAAAAATTATATAAAAATATAAAACAAAAAATTTATTCCTATAACTCCACCCATCCAAACATACATAAACACTAATTCAAGAATAATCTGAATGTCCTTATCGAATTTGGACGATGAATTTTTTTCCTTTTTTTTCCTTTTTTTCCATATAGTGTCTAAAAATAAAATTATATTAAGATTCCTCATACTGAGTAGAAGAAGACGAACGAAATAGCTCTGTTTCATTGCTGATTACCCGCAGTCACCTACTCTACTCGACTTCTCCACCTCCCGCCGCCGTCGCACCATGGCTGAGCCCGCCGCTACTCGTCCCCTCAAAGTCGTTGCCGGAGCGGACGCCTTCGGAGCCGAACTCAAGGATGCAATGGTTGCCCATCTCCGCTCCCTCAACATTGAAGTTGAAGACCTCGGCACCACCTCCTATTACGATGTCGGAGCGGAGGTTGGTCGCCGAGTCTCCACCGCCTCTTCATCTGACTCCAAGGTTGAAGCCCGTGGTCTTCTCGCTTGCGGTACGGGTGTTGGAGTGGCCATCTTTGCTAACAAGTTCCCGGGCGTTTACGCCACCACCTGCACCAACGCCAACGATGCCCGTGACACCCGCGCCATCAACAACTGTAACGTTCTTGCTCTCTCCGGCAAGTACACCCCCGTGGAGAAGGCTGTTGAAATCCTCACGACTTGGCTCGACACTCCCTTCAAATCTCCCTGCCCCGCTTCTGGGTCTCAGCCTTGGCCGCAAGATATTGCAGATTTCTTCGATCAATCGCTTATTGACATGCCCAAAATTGGCTGCCAACAAGAATCAAAAGTCGATTCTTCTGCCATATGTAGCCTGGTGCAAAACAGGGAACTGAATCCCATCGATTTGATGCCGGGAGGATCGATAAAGATACTAAGGGAGAATCCCGCCTCTGCTATTTTGAAGTTTAAGGCAGGAAGCGTGCAGCCGGCACATCACCATACGTTTGGGCTTGATTTTGTTGTCATAAAGGGGAAGGAGAGCGTGTGGAATTTGACAAAAGGGGAGAGGTACGATTTGGGTGATGGGGATTACTTGTTTATACCGGGTGGGGATGTGCTAAGGGTGAAGTTCCATGAGGATACCGAGTTCTTCGTCAAGTGGGATGGCCACAGGGATATCTTCGTGGATGAAGATTTTGAGACTGCCAAGAGTGCCATAGAGAAGGAAGTAGCTAATGGGTCTCTGTAAGATTTTAAGCACTCATGTTGGGTGCTCTCCTTTCTCTGCATGTTGCATATAAATATATATGTTATTATGTTGTTTATACTACATAAATCTTGTTGTGAATTTGTGTTTATGGTGATAGAGTGTCTCAAGTCTGAGCTGTGGAAACTTGAGGAGCATATGATGCTTAAGGCTAGCAGGAGGGAGGAATAAAGGGTCTCTATCCATGTAACAAAACATGTATAATGAATAATATATAAATGAGCTTGCCTTTGGTTATGAATGTTACATTTGCTACCTTATAATTCAAGATTATTGCTCCTGCTTTTATTAGTTGATGGTTTTGTGATGTTAATTGTCTGCCCTGGTGCATATTTCTCTACTGTTTACTTGTAAAATTGCTTTTGATATTATTGCTCTGAAGTCTATACTATGTTTTGGTCGTTGGGTAAGGTTAGGAAAACTTGAAATTGCTGAGTGATCTGAAGCTTGATAGTTGATGACAATGTTCTTGAAACCTCTTATGTGTTTTTAATTTATGCCATAAAGCCTTAGTTATACCGCAGACAGAGTCTCCTAGAATTTATATATTTGCTTCACTGGTTGCAGCTTGATGCGCCTTTTCTTGCTTCCGGTTAGAAACCAGAGCACCAGAAGTTCCATGTTCCATGTTCATGTTTCGTGGTACTTCATCTCAAAATTTTGGAGAAAATGTTCACATAAGGATACAAACTTTGTTTTTTTTTTTTTCTTATTTAATGATACAAAATTTTTTGAATTTTTAAATCAGTTTTTTCTATTTAAGAATAAAAATTTTACCCTTTTTTTTTTATTTAAAGATATGAACTTTATTATTTTTTCTATTTAAGAATACAAATTTTATCCTATTTTGATTAAGATTGCCATTTGTTATGTCATTATCACTATCCAATATATCTTTAAATAAAAAGAAATGAAAAGTTTATATCCTTTTAAAAAAAAATAAAAGTTTACAACCTAATTTAAAAACTCAAAATATTTATATCCTTAAATAAAAAAATGACAAAATTCATGTATTTATCTCCACTTTGTCTCAAAAATTTTGTACCAAAATTCTTTTTGTTTTGTCCTATTTTTTCACAAGTTAAAAGGTTAAAACCTCATCATTCTATTTTAATAAAAAAAAAAATTTTAATCCTTAAAATTTATTATTTAGTCCTTTTTTAGTCTCTTTATTATTATTATTATTTTTTTGCATACATGACATGTTGATAAGGAAAATTCCAAAGTAGAGGACTAAAAAGAGATTGAAAAAGCCCTTTTTTGATCTATTTAATTAAAAAAATCTCCTTTTTAATCCTTCTACTTTGAAATTTCTATTATCTAACGTGTCACACATGTAAAAATATAATAGAAGGACTAAAAAGGGGCATATAATAAACTTTAGGGATTAAAAAAGAACTTTCTTAAATAGAGAGACTAAAAAGAGACTTTTAATTGAACTAAAGGGACCAAATAAGGGTTTTAACCCAGTTAAAAATAGGTACAACGTTTTGCCTTATTACATCCTTCTATTCTTGCTTTGAAAATGAGCTTAAAAAAGGATGAATCTTCTCCTCTTGTTAGCTGTGTTCTACATCTATGAGAAGCGTGAAGTTTGTGTGGTCTCAAACAAGATTATTAGTTCCTTCCTTGTGATTGGTTGCATCCGATACAAGTTGCAGAGATGATATTTTGAGCACACTATGGCTCAATTTTTTGGCTATGATGTGGATAAACCTAAGTGAAGTGTCATGATCATGAAGATGAGTTCCATTGACATCATTGTATGTATTGCCCAGTTAATGCAGTGTCTTTGTGATGAAAAGGACGGGATAGCGCCTGTGTGTGTGGTGTTCTGCTCTGCTCTGAAAGGTAATTAGCGACCCACAAGTCTCCTTCACCTTAAACATTTTTCTTATATATTTACCTGCCTTCGAACAACAACAGTCTTCTGTTCCTTTAGTTACCCCAACAATTGAAATTAATTTTCCATATTCGGATATTCCTTTGCATTTTTTTTGTCTGTGATTCTAAGCAGATAATCCACCATGTTTAGGTTTGAATTCGATATTTCCATTGTATGCTTCCTAGGCTCAAACATATGGATCACACGTGGCAATGAAGCTAGTTCTAGGCTGGTCCAGGCTTAACCTTTTGTTTTTCTTTTTATTATTTTAAGCAAGGTTTATTGCACTTTTTTATTTTTAATTTGTATGAAAATTACAAAAGTAAATTTTATTTTTAATATTAACTGTATGTAAAATATTTTAATTAGATGGATGATAAAATTAAAATCAATTTTTATTTTTTTATATAAATTAATAGTGAAAATGTACAATAAATGCACATTTAAAGACACATATTCAAAGCTCTTTATTTTAAAAGAAGAAGAAAAATTAAGTAGGAGTGCTTAAAGAATTGAAAACTAAACTGTCAACTACCTAAATAGCTCAGTGAGATAAACAATAAGAGGTAATCAATAGCTTAGTGAGATAAACGATAAGAGATGATTACCTCACGTTGTGCAATCAAAATAAAAAAAAATTGAAAACTAAACCATTTGCATTGAAAGCAATCACTAAATCCATCATGGTTAGTTTAAATGGTGAAAGAGTTATTTAAATATAATTTAGTTCAAATGGTTAAAGAGTTATTTAAATATAATTTAAAATTTAAAGTTTGAAAGGCCAAAAATTTTAAATTTAAAGTTTGACACTACTAAAATTCTTACTTTCAGCAACAAGTTATCAACAACATAGGTGTGCTTGTCGGTGATATGGATTTTCACCAACAAGAACTATGTTGCTAAAAGCTATTCCCACTAAAAATAAGCTCCACTTTCAGCAACAAGAGGTTTGTTGCTGAAAGTGAATTTTAGCGATAAAGAACATGTTGGTGTAATTTTCTGGTCACTGTACAGTACATATTTTCACCTAAAAATGAGCCCCACTTTCAACAACATGGGTATGTTGCTGAAAATGAATTTTAGCAACAAAGGACATGTTGTTGTAATTTTCCACTCACTTAAAGCATTAGCAACATATACCATGTTGCTAATGTTGTACATCACCAATAAAATCCACGTTGCTATTATTCCTTTATTTTTAGCAACCAAAAATCAACAACAAGGAATATGTTAGTGATATAACCACTTTGACTGGCTGGCATTGGTGTCCATTATGTATACACTTTTCACACCTACTTTTGTGCTATTTGTTCTTTATTCTCTCAATTTAATTTGTTTCTTTCATCGCTCGCATAATTATTTTTATGTTTGTATTTAAAATTAATTATTCTTATAAATTTGAAGTTTTGGATGAAGGGCATATTTGACTCTTCATGTGAAGAGTCGACTCTTAATGAGAAAAATTCAACTCTAAAAAATATTTTTGTAAACTCAAAAATATATCCACATTATTTTCTTAGACATATTAGAGATTTAAATCATTTAAATAAAGAGTAATAATGTACTTATATTAATTAAGGTGTTAAGTGTTAAGTAATATTTAATAGAGTATGAAAAATCAACTAAGAAATTAAATTGTAAAGATAGAAATGAATTTTTTTAAGTATATGAATCAAATACTAGACGAGAATGATAATTTGAAGTTTCAACAATATGGCAGACGTCAATGATAACGTATGTCCTTTCAAATTCAAATAAATTTTAGCAACATGAAATATGTTGCTGATTAAGGAGAAAACCTTTTAGCGACATGGTCTATGATGCTAAAGGCTTTATTTATACCCCCAACCCCAACCCAACTGAGAGCATGGTATATGATGCTAAAGGCTTTATTTATACCCCCA